AAAAAAAAAAAAAAAAAAGGAGATGATAACAGTACCTATTTTATAGGGTTGATACTGAAATTAAATATATTTCAAATACTCTAAATATTGTCCTTATATAGTACCACAATGATAGAAATTATGTTCACTACTGTTATTACTTTTGCCTCCTCAGTTATTCTCGGGATAGTCAATCAATGAAAAAGATGTTTCATGGCCTGAAACTTTCAACAATAAAGCAGGTAAAGGATATATTTGTTAAAAGAAACAAAATGTATCCACTGTGAATCACAGAGCCTCTTTTGATAGAAAAATTAAAGATACTATTCTCCTCATAGGTGTGCCAGAAGGAACGGAGGTAAAAGAGAACATCTAATAGTAACTGTGAGATCGAACATAATATAAAACTTGGTTCTTAAATGATAATCCAGCAATGAATGTCAATGATTCAAATTGAGTTCCTCAATCATTAAAAAAACAGGGACAGGGGCTGGGGATATAGCTCAGTGGCACAAGCACCTGCCTGGCAAGTACAAGGTCCTGAAATCAATTCCCGGTATAAAAAAATCCACCAAAAAAAAAACAGGGACAATTACAGAGAGGACCAGCAAAAGGGAAAAAGGTTATTGCAGGTAGGCAAGAGGCAGGTGCTTCATGGAGGTGCCCATTTTCAACCCAACAAAACCTGAACTACTCCTTTGGGAAGAAAAAATTCAGCTACCTTTTAAAGAATCTAAAATTCAGAACCTGGCCACCCACTCTGGAACGCCTTCTGTCCCTCTTACACAAAAGCTTTCTTTCTTTCAATAAATACTTTCTACCCTTAACCTCCATTGTTCCTAGAATTTATTCTTCAATTTTAGAGCACACAAACTTGGCATATTAGACATGTAGCAGGTTGGGAGTTATATTTCCCTTACATTATTTGGATTATATGGAGGTCCTACATCATCCCTATATCATATGCCCTATATCATTTGGAGACCTCCTAATGAGATAATTGGATGGAGGTAAGAGTTTGCTTTTCTTTTATAGATTCTGGATTGTGACTCATTTATGCTCATTGTAAAGCAAAATGCTTTATGCTTTAAATTTTTATATTATGTCTTTGTCAATTGCTTAGTGCTTTGTTAAAATGATGATAAATAAGTTGAGAACATGGAAGGTTATGATGCTTCTTTAATAGGACATTTTATTCCTGTTTTGTATATGTTGCATTTGGACTAGTTGCTGAATTTACTGGTGTTCCTTGCTTGACTTGTTAGACAATGACACTAGGAACAGTAATATTAGAAAGCCCCCTAGCAGACTTTGAAATAAAATTCTGTAAAATAGGTCTTATATGAAATCTACTCTATAGTTAATTCAGGCTTTTATCTATCCTTTATAGAACTTTAACAAACAGTAGTCACTCTGCCAGCTAGTTAAATGCTCTTGGAGCAGCTGCCACTCTTAAAGCAGAGGACAGATTTACTCACCACCTTCTGATGAATCTCCATTGAAGCCAATGGTCAGTGGCATGTTGACCAGACAAACAGCTGGATTCCCTTCCAGAGACCAATCTTGGGTTGGGTGGACTATTGCAAACTGCGGACAACTGAGGGGTCATGGCAAGGACTACCCTGATAGATACCCAAAGGTTCCTCACTAGAACCTGAGTCCTGACAGCCTGACTGGGTAACCAGCAGAAAAATGTCCACGTTATCTATTGTCCCCACCTGCATTCCTCAGTGAGGTGAGAGGTAACTCAGTGATCTGGTAGCCTCTGTCCCAGGGACCAGAGACAATGCTATTGGGGCCCTTTCTTAAATCCTCCATTGAGAACTGAGTGCTCTGTCTGCTAGTAAGTTAGAAACCCCAGTTTTCTCCAACTCACTGGGAGTTAACTTTAGAACTACCTTCTCATCAGTCCACTCCTCTCTCCAGAAATCAAGCTGAAGAAGCTTGCAACAACTGTTTGCCTTTCATGGAGAAAAGTGGCTACCTGGGGAATGATTTACATTTGTGCCTTGCATATGCTAACTAAGAATAAGAAAGAGATTTTAGCCCTTCTCTTCTTTCATGTGTGTGTAAGACTGACAGATATGCCTTTACTAACATGTGAAATGTAGTTGCTAGGTGATGGGTATAAGTTTAACCTGTGAGCTTTAGAGACACAGAAATTTTAGAATGAACTTGAAAAAGCATAGCCTTGTCTTGCTGCTAGAAAACACTGCCTAGGTGACCAGGGAATCAGACAGCGCTGGGCCCTCAAGAGGTCAGTGCAGAAGACAACTGTGGCTGGAGATACACTTGTTGAAGGTTAGGCCTCACGACAAAGAGGAATGACTACACCCATATACTTCCCCATGGATGAACAGTAGTGATTAATATTCTAAATAGGCATCAATCACCTTGGGTGGAAAACTAAAACCTCCCTAACCTATCCCTTCCAGGACAGTCCTTGTCTGTCCCATGTACACTTGCTATGGAACGTGCTTCTCCATTTGATCCTCATTTAATCAATATTACCTAAGTGACTATACTTGTTGACTACAGTTTTGTCCCACCTCAAACAACCTTGTGATTTTCCATTGTATCGACATTACCTGAGACTAAACTGGTAATCTTATTAGTTAACTATAGTTTGATCCCACCTTATACCTACCTCACCTTGTGGTTTTACTCTATAAGGCTCCCTTGAGAAGCAGGTTCCCCAGGTCACCCACTCAGGACCCCCTTCTCTCCCTCTTAGACAGCTTTCTTTCTCTCAATAAACACTTCCTGGGGTTGGGGATTTAGCTCAGCAGCACAGCGCCTGCCTGGCAAGTGCAAGGTCCTGAATTCAATTCCCAGTACAGGAAAAAAACAAACAACAAAAAAAAACAAACAAAAAGAAATCAATAAACACTTCCTACTCTAAATAAACTAATTAATTAATTAATTTAATTAATCAATTCACAACGAGGGAAGCTGATATTCCAGAGAACACATACTATGTTAACTGAAGCAGACGACCTTACCCACTGCAATTAGGTTGTTGTAGTTCTCCAACATCACCTCTCTATACAAGTCTCTCTGAATAGAGTCCAGGCATTCCCATTCCTCCTGGCAGAAGTCAAGAGCCACATCCCTGAAGGTCACTGACCCCTGAAACCACAAACACATGAGTTATAGTGAAACTGAAGAAGACTGTTTCAAGATAGAAGGAGAGGCGGTAAAGGACTAAACTGTATGAAAGAAACAAAATGTAAAGTCCCAGGACACCTGCATGTTCTTGAAGAATCCTGATGCTACAGAATAACACTAGTCCAGTATGTCTGGGAATGGATGGAACAGCATACATTTCTCTACTAAGTAATCATGGTGCCTGCTGCATATCTGCTTCATAATGCTTAGTAAATGTGCACTTCTACATCACCTTTATTCTGTAAGTTACACCAGCAATATAAAACATGACCTGTCATGTTTATAGTAGTATAGTTTGTAATATCTAAATCTTGCAAACAGCCCAAATGCCCAACAACCAATAAATGGATAAAGAAGATCTGTTTTTTTATACAATGGAGTACTACTTTGCCAGAAAGAAGGATAAATGAGACATTTCTAGGTAAATGGATGTACCTTGAGACCATATTCTTAAGTGAAATAAACTAGACACACATGTTCAAATAGTGCATGGTTTCTCACACCAGAGAAAGGATTACTAAAGACCAAAATCTATAATAGAAATTGTGAAATAGGAAGAAAAAGCTCAAAGGATAAGGGGAACTAGGCAGGGTGTGAAGGAATGGAAGGAGGGTGAAAGGGAAAAAAAACAACATAAGAAAAACATGGAAACTAAGCTTTTAAAAATAAAGAGGGGAAGAAGGGTTGAAGAAAGGGGAAGGGAATGCGAAAAAAAAGAGGAATTAAGATATATCACACACAGATACAGATTCCCTATGAAGAATGTTATCATTATGTGTATCTAAAATGTACTGATAAAATCAATTTTTTAAAAATGAGATGTCCCCCCAACTTTTGTGTAAAATATCTTTAAAAACTAAGAGGGCTTCTCAGTCTTCAAGTTCATTATGGTGTCAAATATATCAAAAGTATTTTTTTTCTTATCATGGCAAGTGATTTTTATAAACTATCTAACCATCTACATAATTGATATATTAGTTCTTTTGTTTTTATTTTTGTGTCCTGGGGCTTGAACTCAGGGCCTTCACACTGAAGTATATTCCCAGCTTCTTTTGATTTTAAGACACTACTAAGTCGCACAGCCTGGGCTTGAATTTGTAATCCTCCTGCCTCACCCTCCCAGAGTGTCTGAACTGCAGGTTTGCACCACATGCCTGTCTTGACATATTAGATTTAACCACTTTTTCTATTTATATGTTTTGGATAGTCAATGTCTTTTAAGATATTTCCCCATTCTGAGTGAATCTACAATCACCTCCCACCTACACCCTGGGTGACAATCACTCTCTGTCCTCACTGAATGTTTTCCTAAAAGCCTAATAAATAAAGTGAGTCATCCTGTCGCACACAGACTGAGGCTACTCACTATTAAATTCTACCTCACAGGCTGGAAAGCTCATGTTTCGGGAGAAACTTCAAGGTTTTCCCGAACGTGGTCAAATGAGACAATCAACTCTAACTTCTCATCCCCCCTAAAAGCCTGTTTCCCTGTGGGAGCAACTTCGCTACTGCTCTAGCATTTCCCTGACTGAGGACCAAGCACAAAGATGCTGAATAATGTGTTCCAAAACAAAAAATCAACACTGATGGAAAAGAGAGACACAAAGCTGGGGAGATAGCTCAGTGGCACAAGCACCTGCCTGGCAAGCACAAGGGTCCCGAGTTCGATTCCTGGCACCAAAAAAATAAAAAAGAAGAAAAGAGAGGCACAGAGAGCAAAAGTACTGAACTTCCAACATCCACTTTTCTTTCTTGGTACTGGGAATCAAACTCACAACCTTGTGCTTGCCAGGCAGGCACTGTGCCGCTGAGCTATATTTCCGACCGAAAATCCACTGTTCATGATACAAATTGGGCCACAGAAGCTTGGATCCTTAGTTAGCAAGCTTCAAGATAAATGATAACCGAGTCATTTAACCTGAAAGTTATGAGATTTCTAAAGAAAGGGAAAAAGACCAACTTACATGGACCATGTTTTTAAAATTACAAAAACTGGTTGATTAATCTTCTTTAATCTTCTTTTCCTGGGGAACAAAAGAAAAGGATTTAAGTCACGCTGTGTCTCAGTGCCTCCAACTTAAATCAGTATAACCCTTTCATTCTCCACTTTTATTTCTCAGCCATCCCCACAAATACATGCCTCTCAAACAGCTCCTACCTTCACATTCACACACGCACATTGGTAGCAGACAGGAGTCTGGACAAACCCAATTCTCTCTTAACTACCAGGGAACCTGCTGTACAGAGCATGCATGAAGAGCACAGGCAATTCTTCCCGGAAGTTGCTACAAAATACTCCCATGGAGGGGTTCCAGCCAGTCCTCCATTCTGGGATGCACAACCAGGTCTAAGACTGGGCCTCATACCTTGCTCTGAACAGATCCACCTGTTCTTGCACTGCAGAATGTTCAGCAACCTTCCTGTGCTCGGCCCAGTAGTTACAAACAGAATACACATCCCCATGAGAACCCCTGTTCTAAATCAATGAACCTAATTCTCTTGGTCACGGCTATCTGTGATAATCTTATGAAATCATATACTTTCGCTCCCCACAAAACTCATTTATTGGTTTTTTTTTGAGACAAGGTCTCACTATACATAGTGCAAGTGCTTGAACTTGCTTATGTAGCCCACGCTGGCCTCAAACTCACAGCGATCCTCCTGCCTCAGGAGTACTGGGATTACAGGTGTGAGCAACCATGCCCGACACAATTATCAATTTCAATAATACTTCAAATATAGTGATTTACAGTCCCTAACACCATAAATAGAGTCACAGGAACTCAGATTAAGAATTTCTGTCCTACCTTCTTCACAGAATAGAAAAAAATCCTAAAATTCACATAGAATTACACAAGAGCCCAAATAGCCAGAGCAATCATGAACAAAATAAAACAAAAACAACGCTGAAAGCATCACCCTCATTCAGAGCCTAGAAATAGATTTATGCATCTACAACCAACTGGTGTGTGTGTGTGTGTGTGTGTGTGTGTTACTGGAGATTGAATACAGGGCCTCAGACTTGCTAACCAAGAGCTCTCCCACTGAGCTACATCCCCAGTTCAGCCAACTGATTTTTGACAAAACTGCCAAGAAAGTACAATGGAGAAAGGACAACCTTTTCAATAAATAGTGGTAAGAAAACTGAATATCTCCATGTAAAATGAACTTGGATCCCTACTCCTGAAAGACTCACAGATGAACTGAAATCCTCTAACCATCTCCATTCTTCCCCAGCTTGGAAAAAAAGAAGTCTGCAAAGACCGAAAGATACCTGGTATTGTGATTCCATCTAAACACTGGTCTCTTCTTTACCAAGCGCAAGTCTAACTAGAGTTTTATTTCCACAGCATCTTATGAAAAGTATGCACAGGATGATGTGAAAGATCTGACAAGCCGGGCGTGATAGCGCATGCCTGTAATCCCAGCACTCCGGAGGCTGAGGCAGGAGGATCCTTGCGAGTTGGAGACCAGCCTGGGCTACAAAGAGAACTCAAGGCCAGCCTGAACTGCATGGCGCAACCCTGTCTCAAAACGACAAAAATAAAAATTAAAATTAAAAAACCAACTAAAAAAAAAAATCTGTCAAATGGTAATGTGAATATGAAGTGGAAAGGCGAAGAACAAAAAGATGTTCGTCAGAGGATACAAAATCCACCATCGTGGGGTATCAGTATGCATATCTCCCTTTTTACTGAATATTTACTGAGTCCTTCACATTCTAAAATCAAAACAGCATTTCTTGAAGTACAAATTCACCCTTGGTTTTTACACGTGCAGCCATAATGCTCTCATTCTACCGCAGGTCCTTCTTTAGAATAATGGCACAATGGGAGAAGGAGGCAAGCACGAGGGCTCATCCCGCATGCTTTTCTTGGAGCGCAGAGCAGACTAAGCCTGAAAGCACCTTCCATGCCACTTTCCCTCACTTCGCACAAAGGCGACGGAAGTAAAAGCAGCAGGAACCGGCCTGGGTATGCATGATGGCTGCAGGGGACAGAGCTGTAAGAACGCTGTAATTTACTTGCAGCTGCCCTCCGGGGGGCTCTCAAAAGCACCTCCAGCTCTCAAATTCCCAACCCGCGTCTAGTGTCTACATTCTCGTGGAGCGCTTCACCCTAAGCTCAGAATTACCCACACCGCGGCCGTTCCTCTGCTGCTGCCCGAGGGGCCGCGAGAAGAGACGCAAAAGAAGCAGCGGACGTCGAGAGCCCAGCCAGAGCCACACCGAGAGCACAGGGCCGCCCGGTCCTGCACGCAAGGCCCTCACGCACGCGCACACCCCCTATTCTCGCCTCCGTCACTCCTCACTACTTAATTACCCTCGTCTGCTATAAGCACGCGGACACACGCACCTGAACTCCGGCACTCGCAGTCTGCGGCCAGAGGCCCCTCCCTCAGGCGACTTCGTCCTCTCACCTGACTGCCTTGCCCCTCGCAGTCATCCGTCCTCCACACCACCCCCCGGAAACCGGAAGTAGATTTGTTAACCCTGGCGCGGTGGCCTCTGGGAAATAGAGTCCTGCAGATGAAGAGCCACAGAAGCCAGGAGTCCCGCGGCTCAGATTGATCCCAGCATGCAATTTGAGCTCGCAGCCTTGGCGACTCAAGTGGGGGCGAGTGGTTTGTGGGAGTTCTAGCAGCCGCGCGTAGATTCACTTGTCCGAGGAGGGTTGTTCTTCTTGGGCTGGCCATGTAACTTATTTTTCTCTGTAAAGAGAAGTAAATGAACATGACTTTTGAGGAATACTCAGAGTAAAATCGTGTCAAGATGTAGCTGCTTTGACCTCCTTATCTTAGCCTCCAGCAGGATTCTCTGTGCTATATGCATAGAATAAATTTGTAGAGTGAACTAAAGAATTGGTTGAAAATAAAAAAAAAAAAGAATTGGTTGATTTTATATTTGCAGAGATGTACATTTTTTGTTTGTTTGTTTGTTTTCTGGTACCGGGAATCGAACTCACGACCTTGCACTTGCCAGGCAGGCCTGTGCCGCTGAGCTACATCCCCAGCCCCAGAGATATACTTTAGAACTAAAGAATTGGGGAGTTGGGGATGTAGCTCAGCGGCACAGCGCCTGCCTGGCAAATGCAATGTTATGAGTTCAATTCCTGGTACTGGAAAAAAAAAAAAAAAAACAAGAACTAAAGAATTGGTTGATTTTATATTTGCAGAGCAATATCCTTTTTTTCTTGGAGAAATTATGGTACCAAAATGAAATCACTCATGTCATAACCTGGGAAAAATGAAGCCAGGAACTCCATGAAGCGATGGCCCTCGTGCATGATTTGTTTGATGATGGGAACTAGCACAGGAGACTGCCAAACCGCAACTTTTATAGTGAAGGCCACTCGCATGAAGAGAATTTCCCGGTGATAGTCTTAACTGCAACCTTGCAAATAACCTTGTTAAATCACAACTTTGCAGTCATTTCTATGAAAAAAAAATTTAAATATAAAAAAATAGAAACTTGGGAAGAAAACACCCCACTAGTCATTACCTTTCAAGAGAACATTTACCACCATCTGAAACAACATAATGTTACTGTTGTCAGCTAGTTCCTTTTAAAATGGCTCACCAATTAAAAAGCATTGCAGGTCTTTCTTGCCTCGAACAAAGAATTGGATGAGACAAAGCCAAAAACAGTGCCAAAATTTTATTTGAAATGTGAGGGGTTAGGGGTAAGGAAAAAACTAGTTCTGTAGAGCAAACTTGGGCTGAACAAAGAGAGGAAAGGATAAGAGCAAAAATAAAAGTACACTCTGACGCAGAGTGGGCTATAGTGAGGAGTCGTAATAGTGGACTCCTCCCGTGTCTGTCATTATACGCAATCCACAGTTCCTGGGAACCCCCAGGAAGAGTTCTACATACAGGGTCCTGGAAATTTTTTGGCGCCCTCCAAGATCTTGCGATTGACAGGTCTTGCTTATTTCCCTAACCAGCTTTGCCACCCTACCTTCTATATCATTACTAGCTGTTTAACATTTTCTGACTCTCCCAACAGAATATAAACTTCATAGGGACAGTTATATAGTCCTATTTGATTTTTTTTTTTTTATTTTTGAGACGTCTTGCTATGCAGTTCAGGCTGGCCTTGAGCTCACTTTGTAGCCCAGGCTGGTCTCAAACTCACAATGATCCTCCTGCTTCAGCCCCCTAAGTGCTGGGGTTACAGGCATGCGCCACCACGCCGGGATAGTCCTATTTGATTTATTACTACATTCAATATCACCTATAACAGTGACAGGGATATAGTTATAAATCATTGAATATTCTTTTGTTTTGAGACAGGGACCCGCTATGTAATTCAGACTGGCTTTAAACTCACTATGTGGCCTAGGCTGGCCTCGAACTTGCAGTGGTCCTCCTGCCTCAGTTTACTGGGTGCTCGGATTATAGGCATGTACCACCATGCCTGGCTGGAATATTCTTTATAGAATGCATGGGTGAACTAAAAGTGTGACTCCACGTCCTCTCTCTGACGGCTAAATGAAGCTGAGTTACTAGGTCTCAGGCCTTTTCACTCTCCAGCTTCCCTTCTCTTAGTTCATCCCTCCCTAAAATCACTAATCTGTCACTAATCTGTGTTGTTGACAATCAAAAGTATCTCTTCAAAGCAAGCCCTCCATATGAGTACTATCCACGCACACATATGTGATCTGTGGCCGTGTGAGGAAGGTGCCTTAGAGACACAACAAACTCCATGTGCTAAAAGAGTATCATCTTTACACCAAAACTCCAGCTAACCTGGTTTCTCAGTATCAAGAAATCCCATCATAAACCCTCGAATGCTCAAAGGAGAGAGACTTGTGAGTCACTGTCCCCTCCAGAACTTCTCAAACAACTCTTTATGAAATTATCTCTGTGTTCGGTACATATTTTCTGCTAATGGAGGTATTTATGAAGTTTATGCGGTCCCCATGCTGATTTCCATCATCCTTATCCCACTCCTCATCCCCTCCCACCCAGTTTATTTCAGATGTCTCCTAATTGATTTGTCCTTTGGCTTGCTCCATCCAATAAACTATGTTTATTGTTTGTTAGGCAACTTGGATACTTTATTAAATGTCCCCTCTCTTAGTAAAATCCTTAAATTTCCTGAAATTACTGTTCACATTTCCAGCACAAATTCCTAACCTAATCTGTAATAGCTGGCCAGGTTGCTGTACCCTAATTCCATAACCTCAGGTCATGATCAATTCTCTTAATGGTGGTAGAGCAGGAAAACAAGACTTCCTTCAATTCTTGGTATGTTCCCTTGTTCCGAGGTTCTGGGATTCGGGGGGCTCCTTCTAGAGGGTCTTTCCAGGTTCTTCTTGTCCTGAACAAAGAATTAAACAAAGCAAGTGCAAAAGGTAGAAGCTTTTACATTTATTAAAGGTAGGAAAAGAAACATGCTCTGCTTGTGAGTGTGGGACAATTAAAAGTAGGAAAAGAAGTACACTCCATAGTCTGAGAGCAGACCATGGCTGTCTTTTGTATCCTCCACTCCTCAGGCTGACATCAGATCTAAACTGATCTATCAAAACCCCTCTTGAGTGCTCACAAGGGAATTAAAGCCATCAGTCTCTGATTGGTCCCAGGTGCAGGGCTTTGGGAACTGTTTTGCTGTGCATTTCCTTATTAATAGGTCACGCCCACCTGCCCCAATCTCCTGCCTCACCTTGTTTCTTCCCATAGCTCTTGTAGAAGTGTGCTTTCCCATCTGCCTAAAGTACCCACTATGGCTGGCTAACTTCTCCAAAACATTCAGGGAGCAATCTAAACTGCAGATACTGAGGGTCAAGAGAAAAGTACAACAAATGTAATTTTTTTTTTTTTTTTTTTTTGGTACCGGAGAATCAAACTCAGAACCTTGTGCTTGCCAGACAGGCACTTATGCCACTGAGCTATATCCCCAGCCCAACAAATGTAATTTAAAGATCCAAATTGGCTTTTACTTGTTTTGTTGTTGTTGTTGTTGTTTTTCTTTTAGTCTTTTTGAGACAGCGTGTCACTATGCAGTTCAGGCTGGCCTTGAGCTCACTTTGTAGCCAAGGCTGGTCTCAAACTCACAACAATCCTCCTGCCTCAGCTTCCCAAGTGCTGGGATTACAGGCGTGGGCCACCACGCCCGGCCTGGCCTTTACTTGTGATTCTAGAATTGTGCAACACCTCACTTCATAAAACAGAATGAGTGTTCTGATGAACTAAGCAGAGACATTAGAATCAGAAAAGAGAGCAGGTGTGATGGCACACACCTGTAATCCCAGCACTCAGGAAGCTGAGGCAGGAGGATCACTGCAAGTTCAAGGCCTGCACGGGCTACCTAGTGAGTTCAAGGCCAGCCTGAACTGTATGACTAGACCTTGTCTCAAAAAAAGAATCAGAAAAGGGCAGAGGAAAGCAGAAACAGAATCAAGAGGGGATTAATCGTTTCAAAGTTACTTGTAAAGATTAGAGTAGAAGGGATTTCTTAC